AGTGGGTGTGGCCGTGAGGGGCGTGGGCGTGGAGTGTGTGGGTGTGGCCGTGAGGGGCATGGGCGTGGCGTGTGTGGGTGTGGGCGTGGCGTGCGCAGTGTGGTGTGCAGCGTGTGCGTGGCGTGTGCCACCCGCGTAGCTCCACCTCCCCGCCTGTGGTGGTTCCCACCACACCCTGCAGAGCCAGCGTGGACACGGGCAGGCGGCGCTGGGGTGGCGGCCTCCACACTGACCGTGAACAGGCCTTTGGTCCTCCTCCGGCTGCCGACAAAGAAGCGGGCTCCACGCACGGACAGAGAGGCGGGGAAGGCCACGTCAGCGATTCTGAAAGCACAGGCCGGCTTGAGGGCCACAGGGCGCGGGCCGTGGCCCCGTGCGTGCCGGGATGGCTGGGCCAGGCTGCGTGGGGCCTCACGCTGCCCATACCAGCGGTTGCGTGGCCCCTCGCCACAGGCAGCGCCTGTCATAGGCAGGCCCAGCCCCATGGCCCTCACTGAGCGTGGCCTGTCCCCCAGCACAGTCCCACCGAGATTCCTAGTGCCTGCGAACCTGGGGGTGCCACACCCAGGAGGAGGGTCTCTGCTCAAGGGGGGGCTTGGAGCCTCTTCTCCACCTTGCAGAAGCTTCTGGGGGGCTTCTACCTGCAGGGGTCCTGGCCACCCCAGCCACGGTGGAGCCTGGGCAGGCGGGACAGTGAGCCTGGCTGGTGGCCCTGGGGGTGGGGGGATGTGGTCGGAGTAGGGGGGATGCAGGGGGGAGCTGCCCAGTGCCCTGGGCCATGTCCTGCTGTCCCAGTGTCAGCCACACCCATGTGCTGCCGCTGACCGGCCAGGTCAGCTCCTGACCACTGCTGGGTGTGCTGACCAGCCCGACTGCAGCCTCTGAGCCCGGTGTAGCTGCTGCCTGGCTCTGGTTCTGGGGCATGTGTCTCCCCAGAACAGGGCAGCAGAGTTGCCTTGGGGGCCACATTGGTGGACAGAGGCCTCCCTGAGTGGTGCCGTCGGGATGTGCAGCCCCAAGTGTCCAGACCACTGGAGCTGTTGTGCGCATGGCTGCATTGGAGAGGATCTTCACCCTCACCCCAGACTGGACCTGAAGGGTGACCGGCGGGCAGTGCAGGGGCTGCCATGGCCTGCTGGGTGCTGCTGCTCTGCCGGCCCCACCCTGGACATCTGTGGGGTTCTGGGCAGGAGCCCCCATGAAAGCGCTGGGCGGGGCTGTCAGGGCAGAGCAGTGGGAAGGCCTGTGGTGGTGGTGCGGTGTGCACAGGTGTGCTGTGCGTGGCATGTGCGTGGCATGTGCGTGGCATGTGCGTGGCAAGTGCGTGGCGTGCACGCGGTGTGTGCTGTGTGCCCTGCGCTGGGAGCTGTGCGCGGGTGCGCCACCCTGGAGGCTGCGGGGCAGTGCCCCCGTGGCGCTGGACCACACCAGCGCGACCTGCCAGAGCCTGCCTCCCCGCCCCCCCCAGCCGTGGGGATGTAGCCGGGCAACCCCTGCCGCACCCCGCTCGGGGACCCCCGCCTGGGGCCGCCTGACCTGGGCCGCCCCCCCAGCCCCGGGCACCTACATGTCCAGCGGCCGGCCGCAGTCCGCGCTGAGCGAGAAGGAGCCTGCGGCCACGGCCAGCACGAGCGTGTGCCAGCCGCCGTCGGCCAGCGTGGGGCTCCCGAAGGACACGCGGGTCTGCCAGGCGCCGGCCGCCGCCTGGCTCGGGAAGAGGAAGTGCAGCTGCCGCGGCGAGAGGCGCAGGCCCAGCAGCAGCGCGTCCCGCTCCTCCGCCAGCAGCGTGAACAGGTACTCGTTCTTC